ACCCATCTTATATTGACAAAAGTTCTGAAATACACTAAATTTAGAAATGTTAACTACTCACCTTACCAAGACAATTTGGAGCAATCCATGCTTTTGAAGATGGAAAGGGGCAATTCCCTTCATGTGTCTCAATGTAAAATTCAGTGTTGCTTTTACCTGACGCATACGCCTCACCCCCCTTTTATCTTCATATTCGGGATCAAGTATTGTGATGCCGGCCCATTTTCTGTCCCAACACCTTGGATAAATGGACCAAAATAATCCCAAAGACAATTTCTGACAAAAAAAAAAAAAAAAAAAAATCATTCCAGAAGAGTAAAAGCTAACATAGGGGTAAATCCATGTTATCTCGATTTTTTTTTTTTTAAGTGTCATTGGCCAGGTACTTGTCTAGGTTACCAGTCTAAATGTTGAACACGACTGACGGAAATGTAATAGATCATCCTAAAAGGGAGACCCCAGGTGCACACAGACATGCATTATGGATAAATCTGTCAGTGAATGTGACAGCCCTGCGTGTCTCCTCACCCAAACTTGAGTGACAGGGTGGGAGGCATGGGAGGTGGGCGAGTGTTGGTCTGGGCTTTGATATCAACCACCGGCTACATCCAGAGTTCTTCATAACCTGTCACCTCTTACATTCACACTGACTGATCCTGTTAGGAACATCCATGTTGCAAAAATCCACAGAGATGACTTATTCTCTTGTGGAGATGACAGTTGTGTGTTATCTAAGGGCGCTCACCATGCTTTGATCCCCCGTCTTGGTGAAGGTCTCTTCATCAGCGACATCGCGTTTCACCCAGCTGTAGGATACCATGTAGCTAGTGATGGGCGGGTGGTACACGGTCAGGGGCCGTTCCCAGCTCACCATCAGGGCCGTCTGGTTCAACGGTTGGATCGTCATGCTCACTGGGGCACTACTGCACACTGCGTGAGAAAGGAAAGCTTTCAGCATCTCAATCCAGAGTGAAGATGAAAGACTGGACCATAATTATTAACCACAGGTATCCAAATAACCGTATCTCTCTTTTATATGCGCCAACAAAACAGGCGTTCTATTGTTACCATGAAAAATCTCTTACAGGAACTCAGGTAGGGGAGGGGAACGTGCAGAGCGACCTCAAGGTGGCAGTACAGGCTGCACCATGGATGCTAAGGAAGGCCGGCTGCCACTTTCAAAATCTGGACATCCTCCCCAAGCGCAATGGCGTAACAGCAATCAGGAACAATGTCAACTAATGATGTGCACACAGGATTTGTGACAAATTGAGATTGTCAGAATCATTTGCATAATGAGGGAACAGTGCAAAACATACGGGGGGCGTATTTATTCACATACCCACACCCATCTATCTATCTATCTATCTATCTATCTAGCATTAGAGAAAGACAGGGGGGAAAACACAAGGGGGGAATTCTGGAAGTGTTGATGAAGTGTGACAGTGTTTGAATTTGAATCTGTCGGGTGTTGGGTGTCAGAAGCTTAATGTTTAATGAAAGACAAAGATCGAGGATGACATTCATTAAATCTGCGATAGAATGCTTCTAGAAACATGTTTTGATTTGAATTTATTTCTGAGTATTGGAATACTTATTTTCAATCATATTTGATTGGTCATACTATGAAGCCCAAAATATTACAATTTGACAGCTCTCAATGAAATTGTCCCACATAAAAGGCAACTAACAGCTTACTTGGCTTTAAAAGTTGATCCAATTTAACCAAGGTGTGCCCTGCCTCTCGGCATTGTCAACCAATTGAGTTCAGATAAATAGATCTCAAGAACACCCCCCCCCCCCCACACACACACACACACACACACACACACACACACACACAAACAAACACCTTGACCGCTATCATTGCTTGTTGTAAGACATCCACATTGTTGACTCTCCAGTTGCATTCTTGTATTGCAGCCGAAAGAAAAAGGAAATCTGAGCAAGCTAACCAGAAAATGAGTCAGCCAGAGCTGCTGGAAAGGCGGCAGTGGAGGGTGAGGGCGCGGTGTTGGGTTTTGGTAGAGAATGAAAGGACGCTGGGCCACATTCATTCTGCACACCGACCAAATGCCATAAAAGCAATTTCACAACTTAATTTGTATGCCTCTATTTTAGCTGCGCCCCATATTAACTATGATGGCTGACTGGCCTCGTTAGAGAGCTCCAACTTCATCACGACCATTCCCAATCAATTTTCTCCGACAACACCGCTTTACAGTCTTTCTCATTAATCTCCATCGGTATTGTACTCAAGGCGGCTTCTCATTTTTGGTTAACTTAGATGGAAAAAATGGTTTACGAATGCTAGATGTGCATAGGGAGTTGAAGAAAGGGAGGTGATGGTTGGTACAGAGAATATATATTGTGTGATAAGCAAGACAGCTTCATGAAGTGCATGCTCACAAAATAACGGAAAGCCTCCCCCGAAGGCTTTCCAGGCGATGGCCAATCAGAAAAAAGTGGGCTTCGGGAATGGAAGCCTTACTGAGACAGAAGCCAAAAGGGTGAACAGAGGGGCAACTGGTAGAACTAAAATGATTTTTAAAGTGACAGTGTCGTCCCTTGAATGTAAATCGAGAGCTGGAAATGAGTACAATCGTTTTAAGAAGGCACTGAGTGCTCAGTGAATGCCTCCAACCGAAATATGGACAACAACAATGCACACTTGTGAGAGAAATAAGGATAATAACACAGTCACCAAGCCCTCCAGTGCTGGGCTTGATATTATTGCCTTTGATATCAAGTACGGATGGATGAGTTCTCTCGATGAGACAACAGCATACACACACAGTGCATTATTGATTTGATGTAATAATATTTTGCACTGCCAATAGTTTTTTTTTTAAGCGATAAACACTCCTGATCGATTTCTCTCTTGATCCTACCCTCCAGATAGCTGACAAGCTTTTTAATAACTCATATGAATGATTTTTTTTTCGCTAAAATCCACAAAAGGTGCATGAAGTGAAAAAGACAGTTTGATTTAAACCCAAAATTGTTCACATAATTTAGCTATAATCAAAACAATAAAAAGGTATTTCTGTTTGTCTATCTGTCCATCCTGTTCGAAATGCATAGCTGAGTAGAACATTCTCGATTTTGCTCGAAGTTACCAGAGATTTGTCTTTTGCCCCCCCCCCCCCCAAAAAAAAACCCTGCAACTATAATGCTACTGTAGCTAATGTGGGTAATCCAAAGGTTATTTGAAGGACAAATGAAAACCTTCTGCAACACGAACAAACCGCAAACCATATTATTTTGACACATTCATCCTACATGCATGGAGGCACACGGCAGCCATTGTGACACATTAATGCAGGTCGCACACTCGGTCGCACACACATACACACAAGACACACACGTGTAATTAATGACATTAAATATGGCCTTGTTGTTCCATTTAGGTGGGCCAGGGCTGTAATTGTGCAAGGCAGTGACACATTGAATAGATGAGAACCCTTCTGAATTTGATCAATTACGCCTGTATTTACCCTGCCATTATACCGCATGTCAAAAATGGGTGTTGAAAAATGGCCTATTAGGATAACCTCTCAGCGTAAATGTGCAATAATTTAAGATAATTATTATCCTGATGAGCAGCATCTGTTTTAGAATTTGGTTTCGCTTTGGGATCTTTTGGATTGCGCTTACCTTTTGTTTGGCACGTAGAAGCAGAATGAATAACGACGTGCACTTATGTGCACCGACAACAGTCATTTTTATAACAATCGATTCAATGACATGACAATTCAGCATTCGCACCCCCGCTATATTTTTAAGAAATCGTTTTACGGGGATTTTTGCAGTATATGTACTGCAATGTCCTTCCGTATGGGAGAAAAAAAAAACTGTCGGCGATGAACTTTACAGCCATTTACAATAAGCAGATGCACGTGGAAACTGCAGTCAGCCACAACTCTCGCCAAAATCACATCCGACCCCAACAGGCCTTGCCTCCTAAAGAAACATGCATATATCTAACACGGACACGCATGAACATTACTTTCTATACAGCTTATTCTTTGTTGTCTTCAAATACATTTACAATGTGTTTAGTGTTTTCGCTAAAAGTGCAACAAATTATTTGCTTGTAGCCAATTGTTTTGTTTGAAGAAGTATGTGGGTTTTTTTTAACCATGTACTAAGACTTTATGGACACCCTGTAGATACCGTTGATGCAAGTGTACAGTAGATCGAAGCTCACCTCTTGACGCCTCAGTGCCATGATTGCTCCCGTGAATGTCAGTCAAGTCTTTCTGCCAGGCATCCGTCATTGCAGACTTGAACACTTTCCTGTTATCAAGGTCCTGCAGGGGACGGAAGTTGTTCCTCAGATACTCTACAGACTTCACGTGGTCCTGTTGCTCTGTCGTAAATATGGAGTAGAAGGCCTCGAGCTGCATGGGGCGGGGAGAGAATAAGGGTATTTTTCTTCTGTGTGCCTGAGGAGCAAGTATACCATTCAACTGTAGTTGCTCACCGTTAGGTGACTACTCACAACTGGAGCAAAATGCTAGCCAGGAACATTCACATCCTCGGCAACAGCAGGCACACGCCTTATTAATTATCATGACCACCTATGGAGTTGTGACTTCTCAATAGGGTACATTTGCAGCCATTGATTGGCATGACTGATCTGTTAGCACATGCATTAATGTCTCCACCGCACAGATAGTGTGGAATCAATGTGCCCGATGCATGCTTGCAGAGGTGAATTACAGGTCCATAAAAAGACTGCGTGTGGCGCCACAAACATTGTCGCCGTTTTCAATACTGCTGCTGGAGAACAAAATTCCACTGAGCCCCGCACATTTCGACAGTACAGAGGACTCTAGAGGATATTAGGCTGGCTAACACAGGAATTATAGCAAAATGCCCGCACAGGGGATCAGTAAAAAGTGCAAAACACGATTTGAAATGCATTACCTCGCAAAATAAAAACAAGGCAAAAAAAGCCTGAGGTAGGTTAAGCACGAAAAATACTTTATGGTCATACACAGATGACAAAAAAAAATAAATAAAAATACCATTTTGAAAACACTTTTAATAATACAGTGATACCTTGACTTACACCTGACATGAGGTATGAGCTATAGCTCGACCGCAACGCAGATTTCAACACAAATATTGCAGCAACACATGTAGACAGACAATATGACAGTGCCCAGAAGCATGCATTTTTTTATTCTCTGGGGAAAATTATCAGTATTACTGCATCTTAGTTGCAAGTAACTGTCTTTGAGATGCAACACAATCTAATCTAAGTGAATTATATCTATGTCTGTTTTCTATGATTAAGGTGGGCCAGCAGAAGGAGACCCACTGAACAAGAGCAGAGTTCCAGTTATTACCGTTTGTCATTATAAAATAAAATACTGTGGAGTATTTCCTCACGAATTAACACATTACAACATTTGTTTTTATTGTTGTTTTCTGGGGGCTGGAACAGATTACTTGCATGTCCACTCATTTCAGTGGGGAGAAATGATTTGAGATATGCATGTTTGAAGTTACGAGCATGCTCACAGAATAAATTAAACTCTTAGGTCAAGGCCCCACTGTGTCCATTAAGGAGGGCAGTATGTATAATGTGTACATGAGTGCAGCGGAATGAAACTATTTTTAAAGGTGGGTAAAGAACTGAACGTTTACAATATAAAGGCAACCCACAGAATGATAAGGAGACTTAACAGCTATTTCCCAGCATGAGCGCAGTTCTAAATTTTGACTAAAGTTGTCCCCCAAGGATTGTGACAGAAAACGTGTCTGTTTCCGATGCAAAAGACTTGCCTGAGGGACAGACAACGTGGCAGTAAGATGAGAGAAAGTGCTGCATGTGCGTTCAACGGCATCCACTGGCAGTGTGCAAATGGGATCTGACCATGCGCGGAGAATAATCTGTCTGGGCATGCAAGTGTGTGGACTAAACCAACCTGCGAGTGGGACAAATACACGGGCCTAGAGAAGATGATCCACTCCACCACCTTGCTGCAGGGAGGCATGGTCAGAGAGCCAGTATATCGGTAATAGCTATCCACAGATGATGGCAGCAGATCCCTCAGGATGAATGACCTAAGGTTGGTCTCCTTTTCTGGGTACAACACAAGAAGAGCACAGAGTTGTTTACCAGCCAAAACACCTTATCTTTAAGACCATGCATGTCTCGAGTTAAATGTATGCTTATTTTCAGCTGATTTCATCTCACTCGCCCTCATTTGAAAGCAGCTCCATCACCAGAGAGCTGTGTGCTCAGATGGCTGAGGGAGATGAGCAGAGGGAGCTCAGTCAGGTAAAATTGTACGCTCTGGCACTGATCTGAGGCTGGGTGCTAGCCTGTTCTGCACCACGGAACAACTGTGGACACGGGGATTAGAAGAGATACGAATGATTTCTAGATGGGCGCTATCTGATCAGAACCAGGCTAGGCAAACCAAACAAACAAGAATAGCTTTGTGACACACGGGGAGATCCCTTTATCTGGCGCAAATACGATGTGTGGGGCTATGCCAAGTGGGTTTGTCCTAACCCCTGAAACCATAGAAGAAGCGTGTTTATGTCACATCTATTTGCTCGTGACCTTATCTTAACTGCAGGTTGGGGTGCGGTGGTTTATATTTGATAGGAGGTGCTGGAAGTGTGGAGTCAAATTCAGCATTCGCTGAGCCCCCCTCCTGTGTTCAGGCAGTGTACGTGCCCATCGCTCATGGGCCGCTCCGATGCTGATAGATGGATGACCGTGGGATAATGAGCAAGTGGAAAGTTGCCTTAGCAGGGGGCAGGCAAAAGAGTGCTTAGTAGCCAGCAGGAAGTGAGCCGAAAAACACCACACCCACACTTTGACGGCGAGAAGACAAACACTGCGGACTGGAGTACAACACGAACATCTGTTGTTGAGCTGCATACGTTGGCGAAAATTCTAACATGATTTTACCTATTGCCATATAAGTACCTCGATAAAGCTAATATTGAGCTACATGCTAATACATGTAGCAGCATACAGATCATTTGTTCACATGCAGTAGTTAACGTTTTTAACATTGTGATCGTATATTCCAAAAGAAAATTTCAAACCAAACCCAATTCGTGTTATAGCAACATTGCATTACAAAGGAATAAAAAACAAAACATGCTAACAGCATAGCAGTTTAAAATCATCTACAGTATGTGTTACATACAGAGCGCGTATTGCGTTAGTGAAGTGTATGTCGTTGGCCAGACACCAAAAGTTAGTCAAACTCCAATTTGAAATGCAGCATTGCAATAAGTAAACATTTTCCTAAACTAGGATGAACGACAAATTCACATCAAAGTTATAAGAAAAGATTATGTGACTCTGACTACCAGTACATTCTACCGAGACTATTACTTGTACAGTCCTATTATTACACATGAAAACGAAAACAAATAAATACAAACTTAGCACAGTGATGTGACAGTCCTACATCAACTGTTTTTGTCTGGGTTTGTTGTCTTAACAGGAAATGGATGCTCCAACTTCACAAGCCTGAATGGAAATATTTTTGCAATCAGGTGTAAAAAGACAAATTGCTCGTGATTTAAAAAAAAAAAAAACAACAAAAAAAACAAACAAAACAAAACCGACAAGTGTGAAAGGAAAATCACTGCTTCGCTTTGTGATGACCTAGATGGAGATTTAAATGCTGAAATTTTATTGAAACAAATGGACCAACTTCCATTTCTGAAGAAAACTCGCTCAAACTTTTTAAAAAGTTATTTATCCTGGTTGGGTGTGTACGTGTGCGTTTGTGTGCGCATGTGTGAGCATGATTTGACATGTTTGATATGATATACATATATATATATATATATATATATTAGGGTGGTCCACATTTTCATGGCAAAAAAAAAAGTTTGTCGG